AAACAATATGATTTTTTGAGGGCAGATACAGATACCGATTATTAGTAATGGAAAAAAAAACAGTAACCGATATTTGCCACCGATGTATATTTGCAGGACAAAAGTTACACAGTGGACCTTTTTTTAAATTTATTCATTTTATTGTCTATCTGAATAGAAAGGAAAAAACCCTGAATATCAGATCCAATAATCTGTCGTACACTAACAGAAATGTCAGTGTCACCATTATTCCAAATACTGTATCAGCTCAGACTTTGATATGTACTCATCTGCAGTCAGTTATAACAAACAGTAGACATACACGTTTTCAGCCTCAACACAGCTCATTAATTAGAAGTCAGAATGCAGTCCAAATGGAGTGATTGTAGTTGTTGGATTCTTTCTTCCTCTCCACCATGTTTCCATCAAGGTAGACTCATGAGTTTGACATCATTGTTTTGCATTGATGAAAGGATCTGATAACCATCTCTAGTATGCTTCAAAATACCGATTCTGCTATGTACGTTATATTAACAGTAACCCTTTAGATTATTAGTTCCACAGCAACAGCTGCAACAGGAAGTTGGGCATACTCATAGCACAACCTACTGGAAACAGGAAGTAAGCCTGGCAATCATCATCTGATTTGTGTGACTTTTAATTTTTCGCAATGTTGTCCACACATAATACTGGTGCATGAAGCAACCGCAGCAGCGCGCAGACTGCCAGGCCCTGATTATCACTTTAAAATACAAAATGTATGTAAAAATCAGAATTTCCAGGCAGATATAACTAACACTGAAGTCATCACTTCATGCTGTCCTGCTGACTCTAAAGATGTGATTGTTCAGATAGTCCATCATTTCAACTTGAAACACATTACCAGCAACCTGTCTCACATTATCAACAGGTTGCATGGTCTCTTAGACTCTGGATTAGGTGGTTTGTCAGCCCCACACATTGAAATCTATTAACGCTCAGTGGTGTTACCGGCATTAAAGACTACTGTCACTACATTATAATGAAATGAATTCTTTCACTTGTATTTGTTGTTGGGGTGTGTCCTAACTGTCAAACCCCCAGCAGTGGTAACTGTGGTATTGCCCCAGGTGTTTGATTGCTGTGCAGCTCTGTGAGGAGAATACTGCAGTTTTCTGGAAGGGTGGAGCTGTGGCCTTAATGAGTTTGAGCAGTGACTGCTGGGTTCAACAGAAGTGAGCCTTCTCGCTTCCTTTCTCATTAGGCACTCGTGAGAAAATGGCAGCGGGTAAAGACAAGAAGTAACAGTCCCACACTAACTCATATTTTTTATGGGGGCAAGTAAAACTTGACTCTGGGCAAGCAGATTTCCAATCCACTTGGGTAAGTGAAAGAAACTAACATACCCTGTACCATATGTTGCATTATATGCCTCCTGCCTCTGAAGCTGGTCAGGATTTAGTGTCAGGAAGCGGGAAAGTTGCAAATTGCGACCAAATAAAAACCGCTTGCTGTCCAAGCGTGTAGGAGAAACTACAGCGGACGTGTAACTCGCACAAAGTTCAGACCTAGAGCCAGTGTTTGTCCGTTCTGGGCTACTGTAGAAACAGGGTGGTTCAACGTGGCGGACTCTGTAGATAAAAATGACAACATACCTATGAATATTAAATTATAAATAAATAGATCCTCCTAAATGTTACACACTGGACATTTAATGGTGAGCAAGACACATTCTGTTGTGTATTTTCTCATCTCTGCACTGCCACCGATCACTGAAGTGTGCACGGTCAGAGTTTCTAAATAGACATTTTTTTCTTGTTTTTGTGTAGATGGTGTGTTCGAGCGACGGATGGATGTGGCTCTGTGGTCCGGCAGAGCCACTGCAGGGGACACCACCAGCAAGCTGATTTACTCTGAGAGCATCAAGAGTAAGGTAAGCACACCACGAGGGAGTCGATGTGACTGTGGAGGAATGGAGACATGGATGTTTGTGTAGAATTTAAAAACTGCATTTTGAAACTCAAGAGAGCCCCGGTCTTTGCTTGAGTGCCAAACCTGCCTTGTTGTGCAGTCTCCAGATGTGGAGCTGGTGGAGCCAGAGGAAGTGCTGGTGAAGGAGGAGAAGGTGGAGGCAAACATGTCACAAATTGAAGAAATATTGGAAGACGTCCCGCTTATAGGAGATGATGGTGAGTACAGGCGACGTGCTGATGCATGTGTGCAGTAGACTACCCTGTGTGCAAAGCGGAGTATTAAAAATCTGTGGCCAGATTACTCTTCAACGTTATCTCAGCACGTTAGCTACTACAAAACAAATGTATAATGAGACAAACTGCTGGCAACAAGCTTGAAAGACATTGGTGCCTACATCCAGCAATTAACAAAGAGATACTGTTGAGTTGCATCATGGGAAATGTTGATCCACTACAGACTTTTTTTTTTTTTAAATCTGTCACATTGGAGGCTCCAATATTATGAATAAACCAGTAATATACACGATTGATGTAGACTAGCAAGCTAGTTAGCTAACATTTTGCTACCATTTGCTACCTTAAGATGTGATCCTACTGCCTGGTAACGCAGACAACCCTAGCACATAGCATATCTAAGTACAGGAAAGGAGGAAGTTGACAGAGGTTCCAAAAGGGGCGGTGCTTATGAAGGGTCATTTCATGGAAATACCCTAACCAAGAAGTTCAAGCTGTTGAAATGGTGCAAATACTCTTATCAACAATCTGTAGGCGGAGCCTGCAAATAAAGTGGAACCAAAGCTCTTGTTAGTTCCAGTCTTGGTATCATATGAGGTGTAATATTTATGTAAGGAATGTAGTCAGCACACAGAGAATAAAGTATTAACTAGTTCGTTTTTTCTTCTCCATTCTTTTGCCCTGTATCGTCTCTGTAAAGGAGTGGTGGAGTGTGTCCCTTGCGGAGCTGTGGGACAGAGACCCGGCCTTGAACAGCAGGACACCCAGTCCACTTCCAGCCAGTCGCAGTCCCAGATCCAGAGCAGCAGCAGGAGGCGTGCCGGCAGCAGCGGCAGAGGAGTGGAGGTCAGTGACTCCTCTCCTCTCCTTAAGTGTGAACTCAGTGCCTCTGTTGAGGGCAGAGACTCACTGCAGGAAACTATAGACCCTCCTCAATATATCGATGATGGCAGCAATGACTCACAGTTTGAAGTGTTGTGCGACAACGATAAAAGCGCTAGCTCGCTGGTTGAGGAGTTTTTTGACGAGCGGTCGGAGGCTCACGTGGAAGGAAAGAGGCCATATATGATGGCAGCGGCTGATTTCCCATCAACCTCTTCCAGCATCAACGGCTGGACTCACTACAGCCCCGGTCTACCACTGCCCCAGTCCTTCGGCGACAGCGGCGAGGTGCGCCGTCGATCCAACGCCAAGGAAAGACTGTTTGTTTGCAGCTACTGTGGCAAGGCTTTTAACCGGCCCAAGAAGGTGGAGATCCACCAACGCGTCCACACTGGGGAGAAGCCCTTCAGTTGCTCCACGTGCGGGAAGACGTTCTCTGAGGCCGGGAACCTGAGGAAACACCAGAGAGTTCACACCGGAGAGAAACCTTACAGCTGTGGTATGTGTGGCAGGGGATTCGCCTGGATAAGAAACCTGAAAACACACCAGCACAAAAGCCACCCTGAAATGTTTACTGAAGTACAGACCTGGGAACAGACCTGAACTGTCTTCTTACCTCGAGGCTGCTGTAGAGCGTCGGTGTTGGCTGTAGAAAGAGAACTTGTTTTTAAACAGATTTCTTCATGTTTTACACAGTAATTAACAAGAAGCATGTTTTAAATGTGGCATTCAAAGGGAGAAATATGAATACGATTATTTCAAATTACAGTATTTCTGCCTCTGGTCTCTCTACAGAAGATGATTAGGGCCAAATGTGAACATTTTATTAGAATTTTAACTTTAATCCTCTTCCATATGCTGAGGTAAAGCAGCTTTTGAAAGGACAATTTGAACTTGAATTTCACATTTTCACTAGAAAATAGGCCTGAAGTGTGTTGTTTCATTTATCTGTTCCCTACACACACACGCTTTGGTTGACCCACCCAGGACGGAGCTGCACACAGCCGGAGCCTTGCACTATGAAACATGTTAAAGCTGCGTCTAAAAGGTTGAGCCGAAAGGAGCTTTTCTGCTGGATGTCCTTATATGTAGGTGATTTTAAAATGTGGTTTGTTTTCTGTGTGTTTCCCCCATTTCCCATTTTAAAGGAAAAGGCTGTTTATAGTTTCATTAACCCTAACCCTGAAACAGCTGATTCAAGAATAGTGCATTTGTTGGGGACTTTTATCACCGGTGGATTAATCCATATTTGGTGCTCTAGAGTGTTTGGGGCAGCAGGATGGTGTGTGTGTGTGCTTGAGTCCAAATAAACTACTGTGTGTGTGTGTTCATGTGTTCATAAGGGACATCAGCCAGTGCAGCAGTGAGGCTCATAACAGTTTGTTCCATTATGATTACAGTATACTGTATGGTATACATCACAACTACTGGGCTTTAACAACACCCCCTCTTCAGCCACGCTTTTAAACACACAGGCTGTGACAGTGCTGCTCACATTTCTTAAGTAAAGCTGCTATTAAAGCTCAACCAAGTCACATAAAACAAGCAGTGGTAGGTGAAGAAACGCTGGCTGCCTGGTCTGAACATGGTGGAACATGTTTTAAAAAATATTTAAGATGTACAAATATAGTTTTATTTTTAATTAAGGCTCAGTAATACGAACTATAGGAAATAATTATTGGGGACTATTTTTAGTGGCAGATTAATCTACATTTGTTTTGAGAGAGAGAGAGTGAGAGTGTGTGTGTGTGTGAGAGAGTGTGTGTGTCATACTGTGTTGTATTCATGGGTTATATGGTTAAAGTAAATAATTAGTACTGGTGTTGGAATTCAGTGTTGGCCAGCATTCAGTCATCCTCCATGTACTCCTTTGGGAGCATTGTTAAGTGTAACGCATGTCATGTGTTTTATAGTTGAAATATTCAATTTTGTATGCAATATTTCATTTCTGAAATAAAATATGCATAAAATATGCCTTTTAAACCACAAAGAAGTCTTGTTTTATGAGCCTCTTTAAAAACAAAGTTGAATGATCTGAAGCTCAGTTGAACATTATCAGATTTGAATTGCGTCTGTGAAGAAAAATTGACTGAATGTCTTTTTTTTTTTTTTTATGGTGCCAATTTTATTTAATTTTTTGCCCCTACCTCTTCTCCGGTCTGCCACTGCCTTGAGTGTGATCACTGGTCCCAGATTCACACACTCTTATACAAGTCTTTCTATAGCGTGAAACATGCACTCTGGTGGCAACAAATCAAACTGTGGGTCACACAGTGTATGTACAAAGCAAACTGTCACTCATGATGTCCTGTTAACTAAACAGGCCTAATTTATTTAACTGTATTCGTTTTGCTAGTAGCACAGCTGTTATTTCTCTTGCGTGTAACTCGTCACTGGTTCGATCCCTGGCACTGGCAGGAGAGTGGACTGCCTACCCTTGAGCAAGGCACTGAACCCCCCAAAAACACTGCTACAAGGGCATTGCACTGCACACATTTTAATTGCCTTGTGTACATTGACAGTAAGGTATGACTTAATTTAACTTAGTAAAGCCCGGTACTTGGTTTGTGGGGCCAATATTGATAATTAAGAGTTAAAAGAAAAGCCAATAATGATATATCTACCAATTCTATTTTTTTATCAATTTCTTTAATCTAGTTTGGCTGGTAAAGCTGCACTAATCAGTAAGAACTTTAGAATTTAGAATTACTACCTCACTCTGCAGTCTGATGTGATATTGACTGCATATGCAGTTGGATTAATCTCCCTCAAGCAAAGGTTCTAAAATCGTAGGGCGTCTCTCCTGATCACGTTTTGAAACTAAGTTGTTTCTTCTCAGTCATCAGTGTTGTGTGTTTGCGCTGCCCTTAACGTTTCCTCTCTTCATTGTATGTGCAGAAGGAGAAGGAGGAGCCGGATGTGGTACTGGTGAAGGTGGAGGAGGTAGAACCGGTGACGGAGACTCAGAGCCAGACAGGCCTCAGCATACAGGAGGGTGAGTGCACACACAATCCCAATCTATAATCACACTCTGAGGTGATCTGACATCACCCTTACAATAGGAGGTCCTTTTGTCTTACTCAGTATGGCCACTTGGAAGTACGGACTGAAAAGCATCTGCACACTCAAATCTGTACAAAAAAAGGTATTTATTTTGTGAGCTTTCAGTCAGAGAGCTTCTTCAAGGCAGTGAAAAGAAGCATTAGCTTTAATGCAGAACACTTGTGTCATCAGTTGTATCAGTTGGGTTTGTGTGGCTAGACATTAAGGGAATTGTAGTCCTAGGTAAGTTGGACTACAAGTTAAAGACACTGGCCCAATCCCAGGTTCCACACTCACAGGCTCAAAGACTTTGAGGCACATTCCTGTTAAGTCCACTGGCTGTCCCAGTGATAAATCAAGGGGCTCTCTGGCAGACATTTTAAGCGCTTTTCATCCACACTTTCTGACTCAAGTAAATTTACCAATGAGAACTATGGTCAACTTCCTCCTTTTTTCTACTGAGATATGTTATGTGCTAGGCTAATCCATGTTGAAAAGACAAGCACATTTTGAAGATGGTTAAAAGATAAAAGTTACATATATAGTTACATCTTAAGTTAACTAATGTCGGCAGCTAACTAGCTAGCTAATCTAGATCAAGCGTTTGACAGCTAGTTTGCTGGTTAGTTAGCTAGTTAGGTAGTTTTTTGCTACAGAGAAAAACACAAGCTAACTAGCTAGCTTATCTACATTCATTATTAGCTAGCTAGTAACATCTGATAGCTGATGTTAGCTAGCTAGCTAATTATCTCGCTAGCTAATTGTCTAGCTAAGGTTTGAGGTAGATTAGTTAGCTAGTTGGCTAACCTAATATGTGACTATGAATGGACCCCTTCTGTGAGTGTGTGTAAAAGAAGACCTAACCTTGAAAATAAATTGGGACCAGCCAACATATATTATCTTTTGCTACCTGTTTTTGCCTTGAAGAAGAACTCGAAACAAAGGGCCACATGTTTTTCATAGTTTTATACTGTTGTAACCTCTCAACATGCAGGATGAATAGGCAGTCCAGAAGTTCCTGTGAAACCTGTAAATGCTCCATTTTATCCTAGCTACAGTGCCTGACAGAGAAAACCCCTCTCTCTCTTTGTATCCAGGGCTGGTGGAGTCGAGCACCGATGACTACAGAGCAGTTCTGCCGTTTGATGAAACCACTCAAGCCTCCACTAATCAGCTGTCTGACCTGCAGGAGTCTGGCCGGGGCTTCTCAGAGGTCAGCTATGGCCGTTCTTCGCTGTGGACTAACGGGGGGGGGGGTTATTGTCAGGACGACAGCCTCCCGGGGCCGTCCTCGCACTGCGCCCCCATTTCATACCTGCCCAGCACACTGATAGGAGCGGAGCCTGGCAGCTCTGGAAGGGGATTGGCTGTTGAAAGCTCCAGAGGCTTCCACACCTCTGTGTCCTTTCAGCAGCAGCCTCCTGTTATCGATCTGTCAGAGGAGTCCAGCCCCAATCGGGTTTTAGGTCAGATTGAGGGCCCACAGCAGTTCCTGGACCCAGGTCAAAGTCAGGGTCAGGAGAGTTATAGCAGTGCAGACATGCAGCAGAAAGTCCCCAGGAAGAGGGTGTGCATCTGTAGGTTCTGCGGTAAAGGGTTCAGCTCCCCGGCAAATTTAGAATCCCACCTCAGGACCCACACAGGAGAGAGGCCGTATGGCTGTACCATCTGTGGCAAAAAATTCTCCCAGTTCTGGAACCTGAAGATCCACAAGAACATCCACACCGGGGAGAGACCTTACCAGTGTTCGCTCTGCCCCGAGAGGTTTTCTGACCCCAGCAACCTGAAAAAACACCAAAAGAGACACCACCCACAGACGTAGACCAAGACCGTACATTAAAAAGAGTCCCAAATAACAAGCCTTATAGTTCAAAATCATGTCACTATTGAAATTTGCCAGTGATAAAACTACACAAGTAGCTCTATATTTCTCTAAATTATTGTAAATTCTCAAATAAAAAAGGTATTTAAATAGTATCAGATCATAGCCGTGCAAGACTCAACAGTCAACTATCTTTCTCGGCTTTGATTGGTTGTTTTCATTCAGGCCCGGTGGTTTCTTGTAAAAGAAGAAGTCAGAGGGACCTGATTGTCTCACAGATGATCTGTCTCATGTACTACTGTCAAAATATAGTGAAAGTTTCAGCAAATATGACAGAAAGTTATTTTTATAAAAGTTAGTTACCTACTGCAGCTTTAAGGACGGGTGGAATTAGCTCTGCTATAATGGCTCACATTGTAAATTTCAACAGCTCTCAGTACAACAACCACAACATACTCACTGCTCTGCTCCCTCTTTATTACAAAAATACTGTTTTTATTGGAAAAATGTATTTATTGTTGAATGTGACCCGTATCAGATTGCAATGTGAACAGGTCACCCTCATTAAATGACCCACTTGGTCAGTCTCGTGTGATACTAGATTCTGAAATGATTGTAAAGAATCAGACCTGAATCTGATTTGGACCAAATATGAAAGTGGCCCAAATTTAGACCAGATTTGTGCTGTTCACATTTACTGTATACATACATATGAGCCCAAAAAAATAGAATTGAGTCACTTTTGCCTGCAGTGTGAACGGAATATACCTAATATAAATGATATTAATGCTCATGGACTATGTTTATTAGAAACAGTATCACTGCTGTTTTTGATTGAGTTTTTAAATGACTTATTCCACATATTTGTCAGTTGTAGAGCAAGAAGGTCGAGCAGACACGCATACAGACTGGTCCTTTTAACTTTATTGTTGTAGAAGAAGCGATGTTCCATTAAATACATAAGATTTACGTTATAAATCCGCAAGGCTGTTATAAAGATCAGCTGTATGTGTGATAAGAAAAGAGCAGAGGAGCAGAAATGCTTGCTGACCACTGCAGAGGAATGCACCTCTTACTCTGAACCAAACATTGGCAATGTTTCTGTTCAGGAATAGCTAATGAGAGCAGCAGAATGGCGAGTATGATGATATTATTTTACAGTCTATGAGACTCAACACCTCCTGGACTGATTTTCCATAATAAAAGCCTGCCAGTAACAGGAGTTTAGTTATTTGAGCTGCTAGAAGGCTCATTGTCTAGGCTTATTGTGAAAAATCTTGTTGACAATAACAGCAATTTAAAGAAGCGATTGGAAATAATTAGTGAATGAAACAGTATTTGTGTAAAAAAGCAAAACTCAGAGCATCAGAGAAAGTATGTTATCAAATATACTTGGGAACATGGGAATTTAGAGATGTATTTGTACAGATGTACAAAACCAACCAGACTACAGAACCTGGCAGTTACTGACATAATAAGAAATGCTCAATCAGTAATGTGGTGTGCAGTTTTAACATATTTGAATCCTGTTCTTCCAGTGGACCTCAGATACATACTTTGTTTCATCTACAGTACCGATTCTCTTCTCGAGGAATGTGTTATTTTAAAGTGTGACCTATTCTGTCAAATACAAGCCATTGTAGCATAAACATATACTGCAAATGTAACACTAGCTTTTTTCTATTGTGTCACAATTTTGTAAAACCCTGCTCAATGTCAGTTTGCAATGTAAATCATTAAAACTTTTTTAAAACTCATGTGAATTTGTGTTTTTATTATAAATCATACATTACAAAATTGTGACACAATATTATTTTCAAACCTGTAACAATCCGTACAGTTGGTGTTATAATTCATAATCACCATATTTAAAGCTTCCTTTAAAAGTCTGTATGCCTCCTAATAGAATTCGATTTAACTAAATATCTGTAGCACATATCTGCTTTTTTTCAGATTTCCAGCCAAAACATTACAGTGTATTGTGATGCAAGATGCTGTAGTTGGTGCCTATGGTGTTAATGCTATTTATTCTGTTAAAAGGTTTTAAATAAATAATTAAATAAAGGACGAGCGCTGTCATATATTTGGGCTGTAAGAGCCTTTGTATAAGACTACATAGGACACCAGAACAATCATTGGAGGAATCAGTTGGTCCCTTAATTCTCACTATCAGGATGATTAGAGCACATTAAAAGAATAGTCCCTCATTTAAAAAAAAAAATACACAAGACTAATATAAATCTGTTGTCTACAGTGTAATTGCATGTGTGGTTAGCTTAGCATAAAGTCTGGAATCAGGTGGAAAAAGCTAGCCTGACTCCGTACAAAGACAAAAACATACACCTACCAACACCTTTGAAGCTAACCAGTTAACATGTTATATCTTGTTTGATTAAAGCTGCAGTAGGTAACTTGTATAAAAATATATCTTTTTTATATATCAGTTTTATTTACTGCATTTGCAAGAATCCAACAAAAAGAACCAATCAGAGCCAAGAAAGATGTTCAATTGTTTCCGAGTCATCAAATACTGACGCTATGCTTAAAGATAGATGATGTGGAGTCTCCCAAAGCAAGCCATTATTTGTTTCAATGTCATTAACACCTGCTCTTATTGCACCTCTCTTCTGCTCCCCCCCCCTCTCCAGTCCGCAGCACCTCAGTCAACCCCCATAACCTCGCAGGACCCCAGCAGTGTCGTGGCTGTCCAGCTGCGGGTACCAGACACCAACACACCAGCTAGCCCCAACACACAGCAGAGATCCAACAACCCTCTCAGCTCGGAGTACTCTCTGTTTGAACTGGAGACATTCTTCACCCGCTGGGCCCCCGACAATGACTCCGTATCGGCCCCTTCATGCTCTTTGACCACCGATGACTCGGCAGAGTGTGACCAGGATGGAGTTATCATTGTAGAGACTGAACCTCAGCATGTGTCTCAGCCAGCACAGGGCTCCATGTCCTCAGCGGAGAGGGTGAATGGAGGGCAGGTTTTCTCCTCTGCATCCAGAGTTCACATCCAGCAGGCGACGTCACAAGGTAAGATATCACCTCCTTCCTTCCGTGGCGGTTTCATGTGTCTTTTGTCTTTCTTTTGTTGTTGTTTTCGCAGTCATGTCATCATGAAGTCTATGGACTAAGGATGAAATGGAGATGTGTGTCCTCCTTTAGACACAGACATGCCATCAGAGCATCATGGGAACTGAATCTGATAAAGACTAACAAAAGAATGGTCCTATTATCTTTATTAAAATGACATGTTGTTCATGTTTTACTGTCCAGTGCAGCAGGTTGCCATGGATCTGGAAAATACTGGAAAGGCCTGACACCGAAATTCTACTTAAAATAAATAAATAAATATTATAAATAGTTTATTACAAATTAAAGTAAACTATGTTGTGTATATAATATAGTGCACATTCTTATCAAAACTGAGCAATAACAAATTCACTCATCACTTACATTACAATTCTAATTTTGTCCTAGCCCATCTACTGCAGCAGTTTTGGAATCTGGAATCTGTGGGCTTTGTACGGCCCGTCATCTTAAAATTCACCTTTGATGCTATTTTTAAATGCTGGGCCAAGCTTGATTCCCCTGTCTAAGCATACAGGGATTAGCTGATGGCTGTGCTGTGTCATTGGCTGTTGTGCTCTCTTGTAGGAGTTCCGAGCTCAAATATGTGGCTGACCCACATTTTATTTTATTTTATTTTATTTATTTATTTTCCTTTCCTTTTATGAGACATTCATATGTGAAATAAATTGCGTTTTACTGCACTGTTTTCAACAAAAGAACAATTAGAACAGTATTTTGACAAAATCATTGCCAGCTATTAAGTTATTGTTCACAATAAAGCAGACCTTAGACATAACCTAATTTGCATAATTATTTATCTAAACTAAAACAAAAAAGCCTTGTATTGGGGTATATATTCATCTGGCAAAGTTTCATCCTGATGGAATTCCCCAAATCCGTCAGATCTCTGTACTGTTCACGCTACACAACTTTCAGTCTTGTAATCTAGATTTTAAAGGTTGTTTTCACACTTAAGTGACTGATCAGCAAAAGGGGGGTCACACACTGGTCTTTCACAACCAGTCCGTCTGGTCTCAGCGTTTCATCAGGAGTCATTAATAACACCAATATCACAAGCACATCTTTAATGAGGTAGTATTAAGTAG